TCCCAACTGCGAAACTGATAAAAGAATCACTGCTACGGTTTCAAGATGAACTCTCTCTACAGCACCAACCTCTCTTCTCTTTTAGAGCTACTGTTCATGGTCACCTTCCTGTTCCTGCTAGTCTGGGACTAAGTTACTGTGTACTTTCCTTCATTGAGCAACTGTAGAAGAGTTAAGGAAGGGACCATCAGTTTTTACAAGGACAGAAACCACCAGCAGATTCCCCAGGTGCTGGAACATGATTTGGAAGGATTATATAGGAAGATGGTGAAGTATGCTGATGGCACACATTCATTTAGAATAATCAAATCTGACACTTGCAAAAAGCTCCAGAAGGATTTCAAGATACTTAGCAAATAGGCAATACCACAAAGAATGAAACTCTAATCACTACCAATAAGGTATTGCCACTCAGGAAAGAAGTTTTGGAGTCAGTGAGTAGAACTCCCAAGTAACATCAGCTCAGTGTTGAGCAGCATATTAAGAAACACAAAATAGAAGTCATGGAAGTATTAACTAAGAATACAAGTTAAGAGTATAGTAAACTGTGTTAATTCAAAGAGTCGTCACCACAGATGGATACATTAGAACTAAACACAAAAAAAAGGTATGATGAGGATTTTGAGAATCATACAACAGTTTCAGTACGGAAAGCTGAAAATAGTTTGGGATCCTACAGGTTGGGAAAAGGAAACATCTGACACTATCAAAAAGATCAAAAATCCCGGAAGATATCAATAAGGACGTTTTACTCCCCATTTCTCAATTCCTCACAAAAGAAATACAGAGCAAAGTTACAAGATCCATTATAAAGCAAACCAGAAAAAACACATGTGTTTTTCCACATGGCTCAGAAAAACCATGGAACTCACTGCCTTTGCATGTTGTGGGTGCCAAAAAGGAACCAGGCTTTAACACTGGACAGGCTACTGGCAGCTGCTGGAACAAAAGCACCTAGAAGCAGCCTCCTGTTCAGAAAGTTTTTGAAGAGCTAAGTAGTAGAAAAAGGGAAAAAATGCTTAATATACTGCTGCTTATTCTCTAAGCTACCTCTGTTGACCACTACCGGGTAGAAGGCTGGATATTTATGACACAGCTTCAGCCAGTACAATCACTTCAAAGAACCAAAATATGTTTTATGAAATTGGGAGAAGAGGAAAAAAGGAAAAAATTCAGCATTCTATATTACTAAAACTGCAACAGCAGAAACTATCTCCTGAAGTAACAATGTCCACAGACTAAGATATCACTTTGCTTAGGCTGCTGGATTTCAGATCAGTAGCATCTATAATCAGATGTCTATTACAGTGACTTTGATTAAGTACCTTACAATTCCCAAGGAGAATATGGACAGACAGCCCTGCCTTATCTGCTCCTGACAACTCCTTCGCATACTATGTATTTTGACACAGACCATCTCTGAGCAGTCCTAGGACATACCCATGGGTGTTTATAACTGGTACCATTTTCATGTATTTGAAGGGGTATGAGGGATGCCTACACAGTAAGAAAAATTCACAGCACTGAAGCAGAACATGAAAAGGCTAGTTTGAATAGTCCCAAGTCTTCAAAGTTCTGGAAAGGTCAGTCTTATCTACCTCTTTCTAAAGGCTTTCACACCTGTATAAAAATTTTACATTCCATTAACAATTCCCAACCCAGTGGAAATATCAGCCTATCATGGTGACTAACTGTAACAGAGACTGTGCAATGCAGACATTAAAAAAAGTAGCTCATATAGCTGGATCTTACTTCACCTACCTGTCACCCACATCCACAACTCAAAGGATATATTAAAATAAGTACAGTAATATTAATATACACTGAATAGGCAAGAAGATGCAAGAGTACAGGTATCTCTCTAAGGTCAGAGTGCGAGTGTCTTAATTTATATTGCCCAGGGAAGTAGAGATAACAAGGGATGTATTTTAAGAACACTCTGGACTATGATCCTGAAGCTTCCTGAAACATACAGCAGTTAGCTGCAAAAACATCACTTCCAGTGCTCAGACAGCTGTTACAGCTGAAATCTATGCTATTTCTTAGAACTGTGATTAAGTGTGCAGTTCCTGCTAGTCTCCATGGAGACTGATGTTGGCTCAGCAAAAAGTCACCAAGTGTTTTAAAATATTCCTGTTCGTTTTGAAATTTCAAAGCACTTAACTTGTTTTTGCCTATCAGATGTTATTTCCCCAACGAAAACTGCAGCAGTAAAAGCAACCAAAAGCACTAGCAAAACTACGAAAATATTTTTACAGCTCATTTCACATGCAGCTGAAAATTAAACACCAAAACATACACAGAAAAAAAAAGGAATCTTCAAAACTAGAAATCAAACCGTCAGTTGTACAATCTTCACGTTACGTGTATTTGTGCACCGACTACATTATATTTAGCTGCAAGAGAATCCTTTTGGGGATGATACAATACTGTATTCTGTACTTCGGCTTGTATAATTCAGTCTTGCCCTTTTTATCTAAAGGCTATTCCTTTTGGGAAGTACCTTATCTGACACGTTCTTAATTGTCTAGTACCACGACAATAACTACAACAGTCTTTAAGCAAGAGTGCATCTTCAAAGAACCTCCCTCCCCTGTCCAGTTTTGTTTTTCCTTTAAGGAAACAGAAGATATTTCACTACAGCAGACAACAACAAATTCTACCCTGCACAAAAATTAACTTGAATTTAGGCTTCCCAAATACGTAGGTAACAGCAGCTCACAACATGTGCAATTATAAAGGTCTTTTAAAAGGTTCTCCATAAATATGGTAAGTTTAATGGTAAAAATATTACAGTGTTTCCACAGTATCCACAGATAAACAGGCAAATATTGCCTACGGTCTCAATTTAGCACTATTTTTTTTTAAACCAGAAACCTGGCCATAAACTTATATCGGCACAGAAGGCGTTTTTTAGTACATATATATACTTCACCAGAATTCCTTACAAAGAGTTTACCTAGAGTAATCTGTACTTCTGCATTGGTAAAGATTCCCAAGTAATTTCACCTTATGAATTGACTTCAAAAGCTCTTTGAGATTACACCCTGCAAAAAGCAATAAAAAATTGTTGTATAGGGTTGGTGTGTTTTTTTCAGTTTTCAAAGAACAGTTGAGGCTGGCAGGGACCCCCAGAGGTCACCTTGTCCAACCCTCCTGCTCAAGCAGGGCCATCTAGAGCAGGTTGCCCAGGACCATGCCCAGACAGCTTTTGAATATATCCAAGGACAGACACTCCACAACCTCTCGGGGCAACCTGTTCCAGTCCTCGGTCACCCACCCTCACAGTAAAAATGTGTTCCCTGATGATTAGACGGAACCTCCTGTGTTTCATTTTGTGCTCACTGCCTCTTCTACAGTCACTGGACACCACTGAAAAAAGCCTGGCTCCACCTTTTTTAACCCTTCTTTCAGATATTTGTACACACTGATGAGATAGATCCCCCTGAGCCATCTCTCCTGTAAGCTGAACAGTGACAGTGCTCTCAGCCCTTCCTCATAAGGGGTGTTCCAGTACCTCCACCATCTTTGTGGCACTTTGCTAGACTCTCTCCAGTAGCTCCAGGGTAGCCCAGAACTGGACACAGGATTCCAGATGTGGCCTTATCAGCGCTTACAAATTTCAGATGTCTTCTCATACTAGTACATTTCATTTTTTTCTCCTGAACTTATCATTTAAAGTACAGCCACCTGTGCTTCAGTTTATACTGAATATTGCTGCCTACCTTGACATCAAGAATTATGATCATGTCACTTTCAAAGGCTAGCAACTCCATAAACATTATGGATATTCAGTACTATTTTCCAGTATTCTATTTTTCAAGGCATTTACAGACTTAAGCTATACCACTATGGAGCCTGAATTTTTTCTTTCTTGACACATATGGAGGAAGAAACTATAACAATTTGCTGGTTTAAGTATTTTTTTCCATAAATAGTAAACTTATATGCCAGTTTCTTAAGCACAGGAGTACACAGCTCTGTTGGCCTTCTGGAACATCTTTGTCTTCATGAAAAATAAAGACAGTTTGTTCCATAAGCACTTAGGATAAATTAAATGAGAATGGTGGCCATGCTGGTCAAGAGAAAATTTATTCCATGAAATAATGCCTTTTTTCTTGTTTCTTATATGACTCCACACCAAGAAGGTATTTTCATTTGAAGAAAAATTGTGGTTGTACACCAAGCAAAATTGTATACATCCATTTTGACACAACCAGAATTTTAATATAAAATGATCAGGATTTTGCATTATAACTCCAAAATGTTCTAAACTACAAGCAATAAGTAATTTAAAACAAAACTGAATGCTCTTCGTTTTGAACATTATGTAGCACCAAATCTGACAGCGTAGAAGAACTTGTTGGCAATTTACCAACATTTTTGAGGCAGTTGAGGGAAAGGTACTCCATATCAATTAAACAGTTTTCTTATTACTTAGGTTATTGACCCCACTGGAAACAAGAAGCCAAGCCAGGAAAAAAAAACAAACAAACAAACCCCAAACCTTTAACTTTTAAACTTTTAGCCCCAGAAGTTTAATAATTCTGATTGTTATTTGATTAGTTGTCTTTGCGATAGGAATGATGGTTTTTTCCTTAACAAAGACAAAAAAAGTGAATATGACCTCCTGAAAAAAAGTTCATTGAAATAAATGCTCTAGTTCAAGGCACTAAACTCACCATTTTTCACACTTAGCAAAAAAAAAAAATCTGTCTACGCACATTTTAATTATTTTTCCCTATATATGACATTAATTCATAAACACTAAGATACTAAACAGTAATAATTCATTTTAAGGTGTGAACAAAAACTTAGCAGTGAAAGCTTAAGCACCAAGTTTAAAATAATGCCACTAAACTAACCCAAAGCACAAATAAAATTGATCTCCCTGCCTAATGAGGTAGCTATAAGAATATATCACCTTACTGGCCTGGAACTGACAGGGATAATACAGCGAGTTAAAAAGCACCAGTGAGTATATCAGGATGACAGCTTACCTAAATTGTGTCGCTTTGTCTTTGCGTGCTCGTGAATATGTTTCTTTGTAAAACAGCCAAAGAAGACACAGTAGAGGCAAGAGTGGAGTCTGTTCAGGTGGGCACCACACATATGACAAATGCACGACTTTGCCTGGAATAGAGAAACAGACACAGAATATGAGTGACAGAAACATATCTCCAAGCCCAGCTAAACAGACGTAGATCTAACTGCTAGCTTTCCCTTTTACTCCGTGCCTTTTGAAGGCTGCAGACCAGCAGGGGAAACAGTTCTGCCCCCATGTGACAAAACCACCAATTAGACATGTTAACAGAGAAAACTCTTCCATTTGTCCAATACATTACCAAGTCTTGATAGGGAGCAGGTCTCATCTAAGAGCAGACAATAATCAACCCATTTACAACTCCCAGCCTGTAGTTTAATGAACACTTCAAGCAGGGGGAAGCAGGCACTGCTGCTAAAATACACAAACAATCCTACCATTCCCACCTGAGCATTTCTGTTCCCATACCAACCATGTACCAGCAGAATGACCTGCACAGCCATGTGCGAGCCAGGAGAAAGATGTGCATGAAAAGAACCTGCCGCTCCCCCCAGGATTAACCTGCATCAGTTCCTCCATCCAGCTATGAGCCACACAAACATTCATTACTGGCGCAAAATCTTTGGGCATTACGGCTAGTGTAGCACAAGCTTAACGTTCCAGCAGCAGAGATGCTGATTACCAGGGAAGCGAGGTCTTGACGCATCTGTTGTTGCCCAGTTATTCAGAATCACCTCCCACCCACAGTCCCTGCCTTGAAGCAATGGGCTTTGCTGCTCAACAGCCCCTTCGCTGAGCCAGTTCAGCTTGCTAACCTGGAAGCTGAAGCTAGACTAAAACTAATCTTTTGTCAGGTTAGTAAGTTTGGGGGAGATGGAATAGACTCAAGTGAGTATCAGAGCTCAGGGAAAGCAGATGCCCAGCAGGGAGGTAAAAAAGGGTGAAGAGGCAGGAGTTTTGGGAAATGGAACCACAGCAAAAACTCTGCTTTTTCACAGCACCAAGCTCCTTGATCCACTCAAAAGCTGTAATATGACTTGAACTTTAAAATATTTGTAGGTATATGGCATTTCATTTCTCTGCTGCGAGATTCTGACAGATTCATTCATTAGATTTCTCTATACCAGCCCACAAAATAGTGGCGCAACATCAAATCCATACCAAAGAGTTACAGAAGTCACTTTTGCCACTCTCAGACTGGCTTTGAATCAAGTTTGGAAATTGATGTGGTGACTGTTCCCTGAGCGACCCAGAATGGGGAGGTATGTCATGAAAGTTACTATGATTGATTGGAAATTAATAAGCATGTAAGCCTGACATGATGGTTTGCATTCCTATGATAACAACACATTTTAACAAGCAAGCCTGAAGGAAAAAAAAAAGGGGGGGGGGGATTCGAAGGCTAAGTAGACTTGTTGACTCTAAATCGTATCTGAAGCACTCTTTTAAGCCAACACCACCCAAAACTTTCTCTTAGCATTAAACTCAGGTACTTCAACAAATCTTTTGAAAAATTACTCTGTCTAGTAAGAGATTTAAGAGACTTTGACGGATAAGTCTTTTGCTCAGCAACACAGAAAACAATTCAGGTCCAATACCATCTGATTGGAAGATACAGACAGGAGAAATTCCTCACAGTAAATTCACTTTTCATCTCAGACAACAGCAACTGCATTCAGACATATGTTTAAGAGTAACTGAGCTTCCGTAACAGCTCAGACCTACAGAGATCACTTAGAGGTACACCTTATTTTACAGGCTAATCTAAAAATACTATTTTTTTGCTTTACAATATAGAAGTGACTTTTTTTCCTCATATTAAAAAAAGAAGAATTGGAATTACTAAAATACTAAGCTATCATCTAACCCAGGCAGTGCATTTCACCAAAAATAACTCCCGAAGTTCTTCAGTAATATTTGCCCAGTGTGCCACAACTTGAAATTAGTGCTGAATAAATGATGCAAGATCCTGTGCTCTAGTCTGGCATTTTTCTTTCAGGATACTTATGGCTGTTAAAAAAATAATCAACAAAGAAGCTTGCAATATGCTGCACCATGTAATTTATTTTCAAGTTTCTACAAATTAAGACTTAAATCCTGAATCTCACATGTTGTGTATTCAAAGTTCTCCTAAGTTCTGTCAGATGAAAATAGATTGGTTGAATCAAACTCCACACACCTACAGAAAGAAATATTTTAAAAAGTAGGACCAAAAAAATTCACCACCACCAGCACAATTTCCATCTTTAGAAAAATACTGCAGAACTGTCAAACTGTTGCCTAACGGTCGCTCTTTGGCTGCAAAAGCTAAATAGGATCAGCCTATCAGTTAAGATTGCTGCTATGACAACAACTCTAGCAACTAGCTATTTTACTTAGCCAGCTAAAAATAAATCTATTAGCATTAAATGTATTATAAACAGATGACAGAACAAGCATGTAAAAACCAATCATTTTAGGCTAAAAGGCAGAAAATTCATATCTTAAGCATTTTTATTTCCATGAAAATAAAGAGAAATCAAAGAATGTAAAAAAAAAAGTAGTGGTAAGTTAAAAGAGGAAGTTAAATCACTTATTTAAAGGAAGCTATTTTATCCATATCCTCTACTTGTTCAGTATAGCTCAAGATGTTTTTTCTAAAATTGTAAGAAAACAAGGTTAAAAGACAACAGAGTGAGGAAAGAAATCAATACCAAAAACCATAGTGGCTATTCATAACTAGATTAGCTGACTCCTTTTCATCTGTCTGTGCTTTTAAACAATTTGCTAAGTTAAAACAAAGCTGTCACCCTCCCACCCCACCCCAAATAATCAAATTACTTTGTTTCATAATACTCCCACCCCTGCTCACATCTCTTGAGGCTACAGCCTAAGATGAAATAGAATACTGCAAATGAGTAATCAAAATCAGTCAGATCTATAAAGTCACAAGCTTGCTTTTAAACACAACTTTTTTTAAAAGCAGGTTAGGTCTTGCTTATGGTCTAGACGCTTTAGGGAAGTCATCCAGCATTTCGGCGGCAGAATCAACCTGTCACTTCTCCTTTTCTCTGGTACGGCCTCCTCGATACAAGAGCACCCCTTCCTTATCCCAAGACATACATGTAGAGTCTTCCCCTTCCTCCATACCCTCTCCCATTATTACTCTGCTCCCCCCATCATTTTGTTCTGCTCCCTACTTGCTTCTTTCCTTTATTGTCTTCACCCTCAAAGTACTCCACTGTCCATCTTTAACCTTATTCTCTCTCCCCACACACAGTCCCTCATCTTATGTCCCCAGCCAGTCTTCCTTCAGTCCATACTGCACCTCTGTCTATCCCCTTTAATTTCGCTTTGATATTCTAACAAACTGCACACAGAAACCAGGAGAGGCCTTGAGCATTTTCTTTCTGGAAGATTATCATCAGTTTTTTAAATGACAGGAAACTGGAGGGAATGGTTCTGCACAATACAAATGATGTATGCACGCATGCATACACAGTAACTGACACCACTTCTGACAAAGCTGCAGGAGTGAGATACCCCAATTCCCTCTTCAGTGTTTTTTCCTCTACTGATCTTCTTTATTTCTACTACGACAGTGGTAACTCACACACCCAGACGCTCAGCAATGGTTCTGTACCTTCTTTAAAGGAGGTTTAAAGAGCCTAGCAAATAAGGGTGTAAAAAATAGTGCACAACACACAAAAGGGAACTGGTTGTAATCACCTCTAACACCTCTAACACACGTCAATAGAGTCCATCTCTAAAAGGCCACCTGCTCTTAATATTGTTAATAGTTACATGAAATTAGTTAAAAAGAAAGCACCAGGCATCAGTAGGTCAAAAACTAGACCGCTGACACTCCAGTTCTTCCCAAATTGTCAGAAAAGATTATTAGTCTACCATCCTACCATCAAAACAGCGGTGGAGAAAAGAAAAGCGTTGTTTTGCCCTAGCAGTTCTGTCTGACAGTTTCTCTTCCTGCTCTCCTTTCCTGGGTCAGCTCAGGCTCCACCTAAAGCAAGAAGGTCATGCTGGGCACATAGCATCAGTTGTTCCAAAAACCTACAAACCAGTTTCAACTGGATATAATATTGGCTCCTCAAATCAATGAATGGCAGTTTCAAGTGGCAATACACTATCCCTGCAAAGCAAACTGTGCAGAAAAAGCAAGAGGCATGCAATAGACCTTAGCTACTGCAAACCATCCTTCCATATTTCCAGCTATTTCAGAAGTAGCTTTAGAAGCTCATTTTTCACTTAATTGCATATGAGAGGAAAACAACTTTTTAAAGAAGTTCTCCACTTGGGTACCTAAGGATTCTTGCCTCTTATGCTCACACTAAATATATCAAAGCTCTTTCAGAATAGAGCTGTTGTCAGTTACAAGCTTGTAAGCCAAAGACCTCCTACCTTTCACAGTCTGCAAACCATATTCACCACAAAGGTTCACAGGAAAAGATGAACTAGGTAACACTAACAAGACAGTGGGAGGCTTGGGAGGTTAAGAGATCATAAGGAAAGTGTTGCCACACTGTACATGTTCACAAGCAACTCGAAGCAGATTCTTTTAAGGTACTCTTAATGCAAATACACTGGCTATAGATCCCTGCAAGTGTTTGATCATGTACAAATTCTTAGCATTAGGAAAGTAGAAGTTTCCCAATACAGATCTATTTCTAATTTCCCCACCTTTTATAGTAAGTTTTTGTGTAAAACAGACATAACATTTAGACACATCAGAAACAAGAAGACAAAGTATTTAATTTTCTAATACATTATCATCATTATTGAAAGTCTCTGGAGGGGTACACTTCACTTTCCAGCCCAAAACCAAGTCTAATTCTTTAGAAAGACGACTCCTCTCTGTCAATTGTTGCCTCTCCTATTCACCTTGCCATGTCTAGACCATAGCCTAGGCACAGACTTTTATCTTTATTCTTATCCATCTGTGTTGCAACCAATTCTTGTCCAAATGTAATGTAGACACAGCAGCACATGTTGAGTGATGAACAGCATGCTTCCCTCAGCCGATTTTGTGAAAGAAAAACGACAGATAATCACAAAAGGTCATAGAACTGACTACTGCTTCTTTCTTTGCTGAA